CCTCATTGTTTGACATCGCAGAATTTTGGTCTCAGCGTGATAAAAAATACATATGTACCATGTATAATGTATAACAGAATTCTGTAAGTGTACGAATGTAAAATGCCCGCCAAGACTCAAATTCAGGTCAGTTTGCAGAGTGAAACAACAAACCTGCTGCATACACTGTCAAAACAAAATTAGCAACAAGCTACTCTATTGTGTTATTCATTGAGCAGATTGATGGTGAAAGTAGCATGATTGCTAAAAATGTCTTGGCCGTGATGTTACCTTTTTACATGATGATAGTTTTTCATATGCAGTATGTTAGGGTGACCAGATGTCCTCGTTTTCCAGGGACAGTCCCTAATTCACAGTCCCGGAAATGTCCCCGTTTTTAACTGTGTGCTAATCATAGACTGTATAAGGTGTTAACAGACCTGAAATCAGATTTTAAGTGGCCAGAAGGACTGGACAGCAGAGCATAAAACTGATTGCCGTCCGCGGGGGCGCGCACAGCATGTTAAAGCTGTATCCACCCAGTGTCTTTATGCCTACAGCTGCTTTTATCTGAATCAAACAGACTAAAGAATAAACATTTCTTTATGTTCATTGGTAATAGCAAAGGTATGTCTTTGTGAAACTTTACTGTTTCTTTTAACGGAATAATCACAAGTTTATAGTGTAACCAGGCATGACATTTACGTGATTACAGGCAATAATAGAAGCCTGTTGTTGCAGATGGATTATGTGTTTGGTAGGCCTTTGTCTAATATCCTTGTTTATATTTGGACAAGTCAAAAATGACTTGATTTCATTCAGAAGAGTTATATTTGAATTTGTCCTATATATATTCATATATACCTTAAAACATGCTGTAGCATAATAAATCAATCATATGTATCAGATGTGGATGTTTTCCATATGGATCTATGCCTGCTAGTTAGCTATACGTAGCCTAACCTTGCTATATTCTGCATCACATTCAAATAAACAGATAATTCATTCATAAATGTGTTGATTGAGTCTTCATGGCATCTCCTCTTGAATCTGTGTAAAACCTATGAACCATTTTCTCTCTCACTTTCTTGATGTACTCTGTGAAACACTTTCTGCCGCCTGACGCTCGTTAAAATTAGACCTGACTCTTACCCATACGTCTTTCTCTCACTTTCACTTTCCAAAAGTGAAGAGCGGGCCTTGAACTATTTGAAGGCTGCTCTGTAAAGAGCAAAGTGGTTGTTTTTTTATGTTCTGTGTGAAGAGAGAGGCGGCTTTTCTCTTCATTGTGTGTAACATGTCAGTGCTTTGGTGAGAGCTTGATCGAGGGCATGTTTGGTTTCACTTCCTTCCTCTATTCCATTTCCTGATTTCCTGTGCATGTTAGGGCTCACGGCTGGTCTGTGTGAGAGGCTTTGAGCTGCTGGTGGGTTTACAACAATGTTGCTCACTCTGAAGCCGCAGTTTAAATCCTGAGTCATGGAAAATATGGCAACAGTGGACTTAACAAGTTAGGGGTGCCAGAGCTAATTTCAAGATTTAAATGTCATTACATTACATAAATATATACATTTGAACCTGAACACAACCTGTTCTATGCATTTGAGCAGTTGCTTGTGTGTTTGAACTAAATACATTAATGGTTGCCTCATTCTTTTAGCATGATAGCAGAAAAAGCTAAGGAAAAAAACAAGGAGGTTAATATCCTTGCAACCAACTTAAACAAGCGGCGTTTGGAATATATTTGTAGTCTTCTCAAACTGACATTCAGCAGAATGCCAACCCAAATGTTTTTTTAAAAAAACAGAAGGATGCAAGACTGCATGCTGCATATTTGACCACATGGTCGCTTTGTTGCGCCATGACAAGCAATCCATAGTTCCTCTTAACACTAAACTGCTGATTTTCACTGAGTGAGACAAAAACAACTACTGATTATGTGGTGTTTTCCTTGGTAGAAAAGCAAAATGCAGCAGTCGCTGTGGTTGAGTTGTGTCTAGACTATGTAATTGGTTCATTACAGCCCTGTAAAACTATGATCAAAGAGGATGAAAATGTTGCTTTACACTGACCTTAAGCTCTGGAACTTTAAGTTCTTCATTTTTAACCGTTATTGCAAACCTTGTAAACAGCACAATTTCATGCATACATGCACAGAGTACACACACACCATGCATCATTCTTCATCTTTCACCATAGGAGAGGTTACAGCACAGACCAACTCATTTAATCAGTAAATAGACATAGCTGCATCAGGCTCTTTGCTGCCCTTACATGAGCCCATCTCTAAACAGAACTGACTCACTATATATCCCGTGCAAATCCCTAAACCACATTAATTTGGCAGAATGAGAAACAACCCGCCCTGACGCCAACATCACACATGTGAACTCTCCAGAGCTTCTGCATTGTGCCTCTAACATTGCAGCTAACACCAGCGGGCTAGTCCTTTAGGGCCCTTAATGTCCTCGGACATGCATCTATGAAGGTCAGACAGGCTCTTTGTAGCTCTGTCCCTTTACTTTCTTTGTCTTCCATCTCATAGGTCCCATGGGTGAGGCCACAGTGGCGTCCCATGTGTTATCATTGGCCAATGATAAAGTAGCTGCCACGGCCCTCATGAATTATGCAGAGGGTAAAGGGGAAGCAACTCCGCCCTCAGTTATGTAAATTTAACTTTCAGGAGACAGAGGGAGGAAAGTTGCTGGGGGGTGTTGACACCCATTTTTAGTTGAACAATGATGTGCTCATAAAGAGTGTTGGTATCCAACACCAAGCAGTGTAAATGTGTGTGAATGGGGAAGCCACGAGTCATTATCTAGTGACATACGTATGAAATAATGAAGTGCTATTTTATAAAATGTACACTTTCACACTATTAGTCACATCACTAAAGTAGAACATGAGAGTGATCATGATTGCTGTTATAAGCAGTGTCTGGTAGGTTTATCTAAAAAAAATCCTATGGTGAACAGGAAGTGATGCACTTGCACATGTCTATATGTATGCAGATCTCACTGGGTACATTATTTAATTGGCAGATGTACAGTAGGCTATTCGCTCACACAAGTGTGGACATGCGCTTGGGAAATTTACGGGATGATGCCTAAGCCTACCACTAATGCTAATTCTGAATGTGGCTTCATCACTGCCTCAGTGTGAGTAAGCTATCCAGCCATGCATAAAACAAACGCTGCCTATAAATAACCCAGTCTGGCCCAGGCTAGGCAAGGCCAGGCCAGGCACTGAACATAAGAACAGTTCACAACCCCTCTATGCATGGCAGCTACTTTGTATGTCATTATGTCATGACCATGACAGCAAACACTGACCTATTGACGTCTCTTTCAGTAACTGTTTTGGTGCTAGCATAACTTCCAACAGTAAATGGTACAATCAGCTTCTCCTGTTACGGTCCCAATCTAGTTTTCTCTGAAATCTCAACGTAAACAGATCCTTAGACAGCTGATTTCCATTGTCATCAATGGCATTAAAATCCTTTATGCTTTTATAAATTGTCCACTTGCACATGCTCAAGTTAAACAGCGAACACACAATTAGATTGCGCAGGGAAAATAACTGCATATCATATTGACTGTCCGGCTGTGACATTGAGTTTGGAGTGCTTTTTCCAGGAAACAAGCCTAATCCCTCCTCTCCATCAGTTGTGCAGTACATCCATAGTACTGATCTTCAAACCTTAATCACCTGTTTTGCATCAGATGAGAGCATTAGGGCATCCATTAATATACTGCAGTCTCCGTGTGTGTGTTACTGGTACAGCCTAATTTTTCTACAGCAGGTCTGCAGGCACAGTAGGCAAGTGTCTACCTCACTGTGTGTTGTCACCAAGCCAGGTTCACCGTTATGAAGGCGAATATTAATCTGGTCGTAGCTCCGGCTGTCCTGTTATTGAAGCAGATGGTATCTGACAAACGGGACCCACGTGGCCAGAGTGACTGTCTATCTATCTATCTATCTATGCAGGATTTTTGCCATATGAGTAATAATGATAGAGTTGTTTGCAGTACAGTAGTAGGTGCATTAGTTAGTTATTGTAGTTATATTGCTACATATAAAAAATATAACGCAAACAAACAAGCAAAACACCAGGAGATTTTGTTTGCCTTTGTTCCTTCACGTTGCCAGGCAAGCCAAACAAACAGCTTTTTCATTTGGATTTTCAATAAAAAAACGGTTGTTATAAAATACCTGATTATTCATACATGTTGTAACCAAATTAGATAAATCTGATAAGGATAGGCCACAACAAAGGCTCACCACCACATAATCATGATCCCCTGTGTACAGTACCTACATCACCTACAGAGGGCAGATTGAGGATCTCTGTGTATTTAAGGGTTCAGTGTTGATAAACGTTGTCCATAAGAGTCACTAAGTACTAACTTATGCTACATGGTGAAGTAAAAGGATAAAAAAAAGTCAGGTTTTTGTCATTTACGCCCACAGTAGCCTTGACTTTTATATAGCACTAAGTTGCCCCCAATAGATGGCTCCCAAATCCCGTCCAATTCTTTAGCAATTTAGTATTTCTTTGCTCGCTGTCAGAGACATGCACGTGATAAAGCTACAATTAAGAGTGCTCCACATTGACAAGGATCACCTTTTTCCTTCGTCATATCTTTCACACACAAGCACGGCCCGGGGTGAATACAGCTTCTAATATAATTTGTTGACATCTTGGTCCCGTTTTCCACCACCAGTATATATACCGTGGGGGCGGTAGCGACCGGTGTCAATAAGATTTTCGAAAGTTTGCATTTTCCTGAAACCAAGTGCTAATTTGTGGATTCTATTATGCCGAATTTTAAAAGTAGGCATTTCTAGTGGAATAAGCTTTAGTCATGTTACGGGAATGTTTCTTTTTGCCGAGAAGCAAGGAAACGTTAAACTAGCGTAATTTTTATGAAGTCTGGTTACCCTCCATCCAACTGGGCTAAGTTGTAGTTTGGCGAAGGAGCAGGGAACACACATTTGCGGTGTCTACAGTCGTTTCTTACCTGTGACATTTGCGGTCGGAGGTTGATTTCCTTTAGGTTGATGGACTGGGGTCTCAGGTTGTTGAGCAGATGGCAGAGGAGGACTCCATCGCGGAGGGTTTGAGCCAGGTCAAATACCTGTGCACATTCCCATGTAACCCGGTGGTTAGCTGGAAGCACCTTGCAGTTAATTAGCCACAGCGCGCATTGCCTCCAATACTCCATCATTATTCTGACTTCGGCAGGACGAGCTTTAAGAGAATTGATTGGGGGGTTTTAAGCAAGTAAAACTGCTGACGGCTCGGTAGTTCGTCTTATATCGTGTCCATGCTATATCCGCCAACAGTAAAACCCGATAATGGTCACAAAAGTGGACCACAACAGAGAAGGTGCAGGGAGCCGCTCCAAGGATGACAGTCCGGTGTAAGTGAGGCTGTGGATGGAGCGCACCATGCACTCTTCCTCTCTCTCTCTCTCTCTTTCTCTCTCTCTCTCTCAGTCACTCATACACACACACATAGGCCTACATACTCTCTCTCCAGCTCCCTCAATGTCTCTCTTCCCTCCCCCTCACCCAGTTCTTCACCTCTTCCGCTTGCTACGCATAGGCTCGTTGTGTACTGTGAAATGACAGTAAAAGACACAGCAGCAGACTGCAAACACACTAACTAGTAGCCCTACAGAACACAGCACAGACGGAAACTTGCATTTCTTAAATTAAAGGAATTAACTTGCTAATGTTTACAGCCAATGTTATCATACAGCATCTTCCTCTCTGTGTGCAAATGCACCGGCTGCACAGGGACCATAGTGATAGAGCTTGGCAATTAATGATTAAACAAACCAAATAAGTGTATCTTCCTGAGACAGAGACCCACTTGTCTTCATCAGAGCACTATTACAGTGGGTACGGAAAGTATTCAGACCCCTTTAAATTTTTCACTCTTTGTTTCATTGCAGCCATTTTCCAAAAATCAAAAAAGTTCATTTTATTTCTCAGTAATGTACACTCAGCACCCCATCTTGACAGAAAAAAACAGAAATGTATGTAATGTAATGTAATATCACATGGTCATAAGTATTCAGACCCTTTGCCGTGACACTCATATTTAACTCAGGTGCTGTCTGTTTCTTCTGATCATCCTTGAGATGCTTCTACACCTTCATTTGAGTCCAGCTGTGTTTGATTATACTGATTGGACTTGATTAGGAAAGCCACACACCTGTCTATATAAGACCTTACAGCTCACAGTGCATGTCAGAGCAAATGAGAATCATGAGGTCAAAGGAACTGCCTGAAGAGCTCAGAGACAGAATTGTGGCAAGGCACAGATCTGGCCAAGGTTACAAAAAGATTTCTGCTGCACTTAAGGTTCCTAAGAGCACAGTGGCCTCCATAATCCTCAAATGGAAGACGTTTGGGACGACCAGAACCCTTCCTAGAGCTGGCCGTCCGGCCAAACTGAGCTATCGGGGGAGAAGAGCCTTGGTGAGAGAGGTAAAGAAGAACCCAAAGGTCACTGTGGCTGAGCTCCAGAGATGCAGTCGGGAGATGGGAGAAAGTTGTAGTAAGTCAACCATCACTGCAGCAATCCACCAGTCGGGGCTTTATGGCAGAGCGGCCCGACGGAAGCCTCTCCTCAGTGCAAGACACATGAAAGCCCGCATGGAGTTTGCTAAAAAACACCTGAAGGACTCCAAGATGGTGATAAATAAGATCCTCTGGTCTGATGAGACCAAGATAGAACTTTTTGGCCTTAATTCTAAGCGGTATGTGTGGAGAAAACCAGGCACTGCTCATCACCTGTCCAATACAGTCTCAACAGTGAAGCATGGTGGTGGCAGCATCATGCTGTGGGGGTGTTTTTCAGCTGCAGGGACAGGACGACTGGTTGCAATCGAGGGAAAGATGAATGCGGCCAAGTACAGGGATATCCTGGACGAAAACCTTTTCCAGAGTGCTCTGGACCTCAGACTGGGCCGAAGGTTTACCTTCCAACAAGACAATGACCCTAAGCACACCGCTAAAATAACGAAGGAGTGGCTTCACAACAACTCCGTGGCTGTTCTTGAATGGCCCAGCCAGAGCCCTGACTTAAACCCAATTGAGCATCTCTGGAGAGACCTGAAAATGGCTGTCCACCAACGTTTACCATCCAAACTGACAGAACTGGAGAGGATCTGCAAGGAGGAATGGTAGAGGATACCCAAATCCAGATGTGAAAAACTTCATCTTTCCCAAAACGACTCATGGCTGTATTAGATCAAAAGGGTGCTTCTACTAAATACTGAGCAAAGGGTCTGAATACTTATGACCATGTGATATTTCAGTTTTTCTTTTTTAATACATTTGCAAAAATTTCTACATTTCTGTTTTTTTTCTGTCAAGATGGGGTGCTGAGTGTACATTACTGAGAAATAAAATGAACTTTTTTGATTTTTGGAAAATGGCTGCAATGAAACAAAGAGTGAAAAATTTAAAGGGGTCTGAATACTTTCCGTACCCACTGTATATTACAGTTTTCACAAAACGTCATAACATTTATGTTAGCTGTGGTCATGGTAAATGACTCAAACCCACTGAAACTCTAAATGTACCTTAATAAAGAGGTGGGCTGAAATGAGATGATAACGTACTGTTTAATAATAGTCTATGTATTGCATCACTTAAAGGCTATGCATAGTTTTACACATTTCTTCTGGGATGTCTAGCATAATCAATACAGTGGAGACTGTGGAGGGCATGCAAAGAGACAGATAATGAACAGTATTTGTGTTTTATTTACAGTCTATACATAAATATGTTCTTGTTTAGTGATGCATCTTGGGCTGAATGTGTAATTTGCATGATTCATTATGTATGGGAGAACATTTTGTGGCTCCTGCAAAGGCAGCCGTTTGCGATCTACTGACTTCTGTTGAAGATTCACTGGAAACTCCAGAGGGCCTGGTAGAGAGGGATTTAGTGGTGCTGCGAGCGATGTGTTGTGTTTTTAAAAAAAATGTAACCACTGTGCGGTATGTGAGCTGTCATTCTGCTCCTAACATAGACCAACAACAAGAGTCCTGTCTTCGGATTTGCCTCTTTATTTAGTTGTCATTGGGGTTTGTGGCATTCAGACTCACTGAAGTGGAATTTTGAGAGCATTGTGCATGCGATCTGTTTAGGTGGAAAAAAAAATTTAAGTCAATTTTCTGACTAGATTTTTTTAGTAAACCAACACAATGACACAACCATCAAGCCTCATTTATGATTCAGTATCAATATGTTTTAAAATGTAGATTCCCTATATAAAAATATAAGACCGCAGAAACTGTGGTTAGTCACTTTTGGTTGCTTCTTAATCCTCCCCATTCTGCATCAGCCTACTACTGGTCTCACAAATGAGCTCCTCCAAAGTAATAATTATTACTTTCTACAATGAAAGACAAACTCTCTTTCCTCTATCTGATAAAGCCATTCGGCTGACTACCCCCTGCAATTATTTACTCTGTTTTGGAGATCATACACATTTGGTATCACACATTTACAAATGCCAATTAGATTCTTATCCAACACAGTGGTCTAATGAAGAGGCAATACATCACCCTGCTTTTTACTGTAATAATGCCATAATGTATAATAGTAAATGTGTTTACATTTAAGGTTTGAGAGCAATAACATTTTTAACACATTCATCCTGCAAAAGCATAACTTATCATCTCACTAGGCACATGACTGGCATGACTGAGCCAATATATGGTCTAAGTGAAGCTGGTTTAATCTTTTATTGCTTCTGTGTGTGAATAAATGAGGAAACTCTCCTCAGTATCTGCTGCATGCTGACAGCTCTGGCTGGACTTATAACCATCAAATTAAATGTTTTAAATTGCTCAGTAATGGGAATGGAAAGGACGTAGGATATTACAGAATATGCAAGCTGCCTGTTCTTCATCTTCCAGTCATGAATGTTGAGCAAGAGAGTGCACCTGCAATACAGTTTAGATTGATACAAGTTTTTATTGATCCCTGTTGGGCTGTTAGCGCTACAAATAGCAATAGGCTACATAAAGACTGTAGAGTAAATGGGATTAAATTATCATCTGAATCAGGCTGTGCAAAAAGTGATGTAAGCATGAGAGCAACATAAGATTGCAGAAAGATGTGATAAAAGTAGAGCATTCCAAATATATCACAAAAATGTCTGCATTACATAGGCTAACAAAGACAGGAACGTGAGAGGATGAGAAAAGTAATGTGACTCTCTATGCAGCGCAGGGTGTGCAGAAATGTGCTGGTAATCACATTAACAGTGCTATATGAGGATACTCTTACAGTATGTGCAGAAAAGATAAAAGGTAAGAAGAGAGGGACTGCACACCTACAGAATTAATTCCTTTTACACGTAGATTCACAGAGACATTAGGATTTGCAGAGGAAGGAACCTCACAGAAAAATGGCACCATGCAAAGAACGTATGTCAATGAATCACAGAGAGTACATTTACATACAAGGCCTGTGCAAACAATGCTGTGAAGATTAGTCTCCAGCATTTGCAGATATAAACACTTCTGAGATCTAGAATTCCTTGTCTGCGCTCCTTCTCTTCGCATTTGTGCAGATTATTTGGGTGAATGTCAAAAAGAGTGGAAATGTCAACACTCCTACTACTTTTGTTTATCCCACATAGTATTCAAATCAAGACTGATTGAGAGTAGAGGGAGTTTGTGTGGCCGAGTTGTGAGCGTCCAGCTTTGTCTTCCACTGGCTGAACACTGGATGCAATGGCTGGCATAGCACAGATGACAGGAGAGGTGGCCAGCGGCCGGATGCTGGCGTACCTCTCAGGACCCTTCTCTTCTTTCAGCTTCCTCTCCCAGACCATCAGCATTCCTCTGATTAATGCTGTACAGGGGAAACACACAAATATAAAAGTGTGGCAGTCATACATTTGGGAAATTGCAAAACCATTTTTTTTCCTTCAAAATTGCACTTTCAGAAAATTGCCATAACCAAATAATCCCAGTTTAAGTTGTTTGTAGCACAACATGTTATTATTGCCTTTTTGATTTTTCCATCACACACAGATGAATGATTTGCTTATTTCTGCATTATATCACTTGGAATATGACCAGAATTAGAAGGTAATGACTAACCATGTGAGCTTCCAAGAAACAGCATGGTTATGTCTGAGCACATATGGCAGATGTGATCTGACTGCCAGGGATTTTTTTTCCACTGTCACAGAACATAATTAAACAATCAAATAAGTTATAATACAAGCAATAAAAAAAATGTTCATTCAGTCACAGAAGATAAGCAAAAACAAGAAGATGGCACACGATAAGAGGGTATAGAATGTAATAGAAAATATCGAAAGATATCATCTGAAAGCATAAAAGTATATTAAACCAAATTATGAAAATAGTCTACAGCCATGACAGCTGCTCTGTGAGACTATAGTTATGCAGAGCAGTGCTTTGAGCTAAATGTATGCTAACATACTCAAAATTACAATCATACCTCCTGGTTTTAAGTGAGAATAATGTTTACTATGTTTGCCATCTTAGTTTAGCATGTCAGCCTAGTAACATTTGCTAGATAGCACAAAACGCAGAGAGCAGCTGAGGCTGTCATTAGCTTTGGTTAAGTATTGGACAAATTAACATCTCGAACTGATGATGGTGCTAGATGAAAGTTATTACAATTTATCCTGGAGGGACATGACTGTCTGTAGCAGTCAACCCTCTGATGGACTCATGTTAAAAAAATTAGTTGTCAAGGTAATGTCACGGTAACCCATCTAATAGTGTAAGTAGAGATATTTCAGACTGGACCAAAGTGGTGGACCAACCGCACAGACATTGCCATGCAGCTAGCATGGCAAAACATTTAAATGTCAATTTGCATTCTGAGCAAAATGTCAAGTCAAGTTTAATCTTAACTCTAAACTTTTAACAAATTTAGGGGAGACCAGGGATGTTTGTAACACATTTGATATTTTGGTCTGTATCTCGGAGCTCTTTTAAGCCAGTGCTTTCAAAATGTCATTAACTAGTAATATGTGTCTGCTGCAATGGTGTAACTGTTATCTCTGCAACACAGCTGCAAGTTCTTAATGCTAAATTTACAACTTGCATGAAAGATATCCACATAGACACACAATAAAGGTGATTTAAGTTTGATGAGTTTTACTACAAAGCAGGCAATCCTTTAACAAAAATGCTACTTTTTCCCATGTGGAATAAAGACTAAACTGAGAATATGCAGAGTGAATCAGGTGATTTGTAACTTGTTCCTGATTGGAGAAATTGGATGTTACAACTGACCCATGTTACACCCACCCCCAGGTCTCCCCTGCTCCCCTACTAGTTTAGCTATTTCAGTTCCTGGCCAAAAACTGTGTTTCTGTAATACTTTCAAAAGTCTTTTGGTCGCCAGACTATGACTCCTCATGACTTTGATGATGCCTTTACTTGTCATCTAGCACCACCAGCTGATTTATGACTTCACTTATCTGGTGAACAGTATCAGCATTTGTTTTATGGATTGTCCCAAAATGTTGTACAGACATGCATGGTCCTCACTATGAAGACTACTGACTTTGGTGAACCCCTGAGTTTTCATCTAGCTAACTAGGTAAAAATGTTGGTTTATGACCAAATACCTGTAAATCTAATGACATTCTCATTAGCCTTAGCTGTACTTCGTATTTAGTGCCGTATGCTAGCATGCTAAATGGTGAACATGGTAAACATAAGGCTTAGACTGACTCAACATCAGCATGTTATTATTATTCTTATTGTCACTGTGAGCAGACTAACATTAGCATCTACCTTAAAGCACTACTGAGCCTCAAGCCCAGCCTCACAGAGCCTCTAGCATGGCTTTAGACTAATTTCATTAGCTGGCAGCAGTCATCTCTGCTGCATTTTGACCTTGGTGGAGCCTGAAAGAGAACAAGAAAAGACCCCCAAAAACATTTTATAAAACACCTAAAGGTGTTACAGTGCAGGCCACAGACGAACCACAACACTGTTTCCACGTTTTTAAGACATCAATCATCAGATACCCCTCTACTCCCCACTGTCCTGCCAGATGATCAAAGCCCCCAAAGCTTAACAGCCCCCTGAACATGAGGGCAGTGCCACATTGTCCGCACTCCATCAGTATCTTCTCGCAGTTCTGCCAGCCTGTAATTTATAGAGCTTGACCCTGCCCATTGTGTCACCTGATCTGGTGACAGCGGCTGATCTATTTGTGCAGCTCTTTTATCCCCTCTGTGAAGGGCATGTTATCTGTCTGCCGGAGAAAGCAAATGCTCTCCAATTCCTGCAGATTTGCCCTATGAAGATTTATCTCTCAGCTGTACCTAAGACATAATATATTTACATACATTTAAATGTAATGGTTTTTTTCATTAAAATATCCTTATTTGAACTATGCCCTTTAATACTCCCCTCATTTATATTTTATCCTAGTGATGCAAAAAGTCAGTATGTGTCGAGTAGGAATTTTGTTCACGTTCAAGTTTAAACATACAATAGCATAAACAATTTCAGTATTCTTCCAGAGTGACATCTACGACCATATACAAAGGGAATACTGAAGGATGGTTCATTGTTTTCTGCTGTTATTGATTACATGACCCTACTCTTAGTACTCTATTTTGCTGGTTTAGGAGGCCAGAGGAAAAATCAATGTCCTGGGATACCCATGAGAGGCCGTGGATAAGTGGAGCCTGGCCAGGCCTTGCAGGGTTTCATCAGAGTTGGAACAGGGGATCAGTTGGGGAACCGAGGCAGTGAAGTGGAAGATATAGAGAGAGAGCATGCCAATGAAAATGACAAAGAGAGACTATGAAAACTATTTTAACCTTTTAATAATTTGCCCTCTGGTGTTGCAGTACAGTCCGTTAAGTGCAAACTAACTGATAAATGATTGATTTAACCGTAAAAAAAAAAAAACTAATTAAAATTGTCCTAAGTTTAGACACAGGGGTTCACACACAGAAACAGTCCATATGGCAGTAGACAAGCTCAGTGGGTGTGGGGAGTGACCCTCAGTGTTATGTCTGAAGAGGGCCTCAAAAGTTCAGCAAAGCAGAACTGTTGCCTCCAGCTTCAGACACCATGTCCAAAGGCATTTTGAATGTTAGAAGAATAGTAAAATGTAACACAAGCTGAGTTGGATACACTTGCAAGTTAGATTTGATGGCTTGACATGACATTTTATATATACATTCATTTTCCATAGAGCATGAATCCCAATGGATTTGCTGATCCTCAGATTTTTTATCTAGATCCACCGACAGGTCAAATTTTTCTTTCATTTATGAACTAACATTCATGGTTCCCAGAGAATGTATCCTAATGATTTTGGTGATCCGATGACTTTTCCTCAAGGGCCACCATGTGTTTGACATTTATGGTTCTGAGTGAAATATCTCCATGGCTACTGGATGGACTGTCATGAAAATATAGTTCGACATTCATGTTCCCATCACATGACGTTTCATCTTGCACCATCATCAGGTCAAGCACTTAAGTTGTCCAATACTTCGGTTTATGACCAAATACCTGCAAAGCTAATGACGTTCCCGTCAGCCTCAGCTGTACTTTGTGTTTAATGCTAATTAGCAAAAGTTGGCATGCTAACACACAAAACCAAGACAGTGAACACATTACTTATTAAACATCTGCATATAAACATTGTAACTGCATGTTAGCATACTGGCATTTAGCTCAAAGTGCCGAGCCTCACGGAGCCACTAGCATGGCTGTAGATGTTTAGATTTGTTGTTGCTATAAAGATTAGAATTTAGCAAAATATTGTATTCAAGTAAATATTGTTGCCAAGTAAATACATATAATATGGGACGGTGATGAGACGGCCTACAGACGGGAGGTTGATCAGCTGGCTCTCTGGTGCGGTCAGATCAACCTGGAGCTTAACACGCTCAAAACTGTGGAGATGACCGTGGACTTCAGGAGGAGCCCCCCCCACTCTGCCCCCCATCACCATACACAACAGCCCTGTGTCTGCTGTGGAATCCTTCAGGTTTCTGGGATCCACTATATCCCAGGACCTGAAGTGGGAGCCCAACACGGACACCATCATCAAGAAGGCCCAGCAGAGGACATACTTCCTGCGTCAGCTCAGGAAGCTCAACCTGCCTAAGGAGCTGCTGATCTAGTTCTACACAGCCATCATCCAGTCTGTTCTCTGCACCTCCATCACTGTCTGGTTGGGATCTGCCACCAAAAAGGACAGGGACAGACTACAACGTACAGTCAGGACTGCAGAAAAAATAATTGGTGCCAACCTGCCCTCCATTCAGGACTTATACATTTCCAGAGTCAGGAAATGGGCAGGAAACATCACTGCAGATCCATCTCACCCCGGACACAACCTGTTCCAGCTCCTCCCCTCTGGTAGGCGCTACAGAGCACTGTATGCCAAAACCAACAGACTCAGGAACAGTTTCTTCCCACAAGCCATCACTCTGATGAACAGCTGATTTCTGACTCACAGTGTCAGGAACAATTTCTGTGCAATAACCCAGTAACTCTGTCTCTAATCAGCACCTGTTTACTGGTTTCCACTTATTATCTATTTATTCACCATTCTCTATTTCAGTGTTGTTCATACTATGTCATATTGTATATACTGTATACCAATACACCTACCTCAATCATAACGTCATAGGTCTTATTCATTTTTTCCAGCATCCTTTGCACTACGTGTCACACTCTGCCTGTCTGCCATGTCATGTTTTGTACCTTTTGTGTTTAGTCAGCTTTATTATCTGTTATTTTAGTCTGTTGTGTTCTGTCTTGTCTGTCGTCTAGTGTTCAGTAACCCTTGTCTTGTCTGTTACCCCAGTGATCCCTCTGCATGTCTGTCTCTGTTTTCCCCTGCTCTCTCTCTCCCTGCCTGTGCCTCGTTAGCCTCATGTCTGTCACCTGTGCTGCTCCCGCCCTGCTCTTTAGACCCTGTATATGTACCTGGTGTTTCGGTCTTGTCTTTGTTGGGTTATTGTATGTTGTCACCCTGTGTTGCAGTGTGTTCATGTGTTGTCAGTCTCACTCGTTGTGTTTCCCTGCTTGATTTTGGGATTTCTGTTGGACAACCTTTGTTTTTGGACTCTGTCATCAGCCACTCAGTTTGTAAGTGTGCTCGCTTTTTGTTGCTTTAAATGAAACTCTGAACTGCACCTGCTAGTCTTCGTGTCCAGCGTTT